TGCAAAATCTATCCAGGCCCTCCATGGATTTGTCCTGGGTGGTTCTGTACAGCAGGGGCAACTTTCCCTTGCCTGCTGTGACCGGGCAGAGCTGGGGAAGGGAGCGGCAAAGCCTGGATTTTGCTGCTCTCCCATTCCACACATAGGCTGTCCCTGCAGCGGCTCAGTGCCAGCTGCAGGACTGGACCAGCTCAGGATCAGCTGCTGCAGGAAGCTGCAGCCAAAGTTGGCACCAAAGGTGCTGCAGCGGGGCCAAAACCAACGCAGGCTCCTCTGTAACGGTCCTGGAGCTCTCACAGCCCAGGAGGAGCCAACTGGACCGCGGTCGCGCTGGTGGCACAGGGCTGCCAGCACAAACCAACAATCCTAATCTCCAGCCTGTCTTTCAGGCTTCTCTCGGCTCTGTTTTGGGGCAAGAATCCTCCTCTTGTAGGTTGTTCTTTATAGACCTTTTCAGGTGTAGGTTTCAAACTGCTTCTGCGTCGAGCAAACAAGACACCAGAAGAGGAGGATTGCTGCACCGAGCTCCAAAACACAATTGGAGACAGACTGCGTTCCGTTGGCTAAGGACGAGTAGGACAGGACGGTATAATGAGAACTCGGTAACATGGATAGAGGGAGCCTGAAAGGAATCCTCTGCGGTAGGTTCTACCGGGATATCGGAAAATCAGCATCCTGACCTAAAGGAATAAAGCCAAGAGATGGTGTTACATACTCGGGTTGTTATGGGTGCTTGCCAAACTGTGCCCGGATAACTCCGGGAGTAAATGATGGCCTCGGTGCACGAACTGCTGGGAACTCAGAATATGGTTAGGGTGAGCAGCCCGGTTCATGTTGTGGAGGACATTCATCTGCAGAAAGACGAGAGTGAGAAAGACTCAGCCCTTGGCTCGTGGTACGTGAACACTGGGTGCGTTCCCGGACGCCACGACCTCCCCGTGCGCGCGCGGGCGCCTCTAGGAGCCCGTCCTGAGCGCGTACCTCGACAGTAAACTCGTTGCTGGAGTAGCGTCCGTTCATCTCGGTGCAGGAGAGGTGAAACTTCCTTTCGTACAGGGCAGCTTCGCGGTTGATGTGGTACGAGACCTGGCGCAGTATCTCCTCGTAAACTGCGATGCTCTCCACACCTGAGACAAGAGAATTGATGTGGGGTGAGGAAGCTCCTGCTTCAGAGTCATCTGGCATCAGAACCCTGCAGCTACTAGGAGCTGTGAAGGACTCCAAGGCAGTGCTAGGTTCATTAATTTTGGGGAGGGAGGAGAGATGGAGCTGGCTGCAGAGCACCTGACGAGATCCCTGTTTGCATCGCTAAAGCAAGTGGAAGGGAAGGACGGGTCAACAGCAACAGCCCCGTTACGTTCTGGGGATTACGGTAGTGTGGCACCAATCCACAGCCAGTGGGATGTGCTGTCTCCCAGTCATATGGAGACACAAAATGCCTCTGGCACCTGAGAACACCAAACCCCGAGGGGTAAGGAGGAGTGGTACAAACCTGGGTGACTGCCCAGACACTGCACCCTAGCACCGCGCGCTGGGAGCGCAGCCACTTCTCCAAAGAAATGCCCTGGGACTTCCAAATTCCAGGAATTCAACCAACGGTTCCATCTCAGAGTCTCACAAAGTACAGCAACACCCCTCTGACGGCGGGTGAAATGCTTCTCCCCGCGACACCCGACGGGCGGTGGGAGAGGCGTAAGCAGCCAGCGGTGGCCGAGGCGAGGACGTACCTGTGATGGTCAGGTAGGCAGAGGTGTTGACAAGCTCCAGGCCCCGCTGCTGCAGCAGCGCTCCGTCCAGGAGCAGATACTCCCTCTCCGGGTCTAAGTCATCTCCTACCAGTGAGATCTCGCAGCCATCCAGGTTGTGCACAATCTCATCTGACATTCGTGTGTCTGTCACTGAGATGCAAACGGAAAGACACGGCCAGAAAGCCAGAGTTACTCAGAGTGGTATCTACTCACAAGTGCTCACATCATACGTCATGACTTCTCTTTCTCTGGCTAGCACTGACCTTGAGTAAAATCACTGTCCACCTAGTTGCTTGCTGGAGGAGCCCCCCTGGTTCTAACGACATTATTTACACCCAGAATAAAGTCACTTTGTTTTGGAACAACGTACTGCTATCAGGCGATATGCAAATGAGGAACAACTCCATCGCGTGTTCCCAGACCCTGAGTGCTTCGGAAAGCTTTCCCCTGACTGACAACTGCGGGTTGAAATGGTTGAGGTCGTGTCTTCTTTAAAAAGGCAGCCGTCTCGCTGCTTTCAGACCAACCTGCTCTAAGTCAGGAAACTCACAGTTGTATGAGGAAAGGCAAAAAACCCTCCTCGGGAAACTATGAGCAAAAACTCCCATTGACAGACGAGACAGAAAGAAGTGAAAGGATGTGCAGAGCACAGAGTGCCGAGGAACAATCCGAGGGTGATGGGGAGAAATTGAGGGACAAGATGCTATAGGGTGTGGGGAAACTGGGGAATTCACAGGAGTAAGTGATGCGGGGGGACAAGACGTAAGTGAAGCGGGAGAGAAGGAAGCAGGAGGAGACCAAGTAAGCGCAGGAATGGAGAAGGCAACAGGCAGGACAGCCCTCCAGTGCTGGATTCAATACAGGGAAATGTAGGTAAAACGTAAAAAGGATTAGGAATGAGCAGCCTGGGAAAGAAGGAGGAGAGAGAGGGGGAAAGGAACTGGGTGGATAGAAAAAGTACAAGGAGGAGCAGAAAGGGCTAAGAAGCGATTAGCCTACATATTGGCAGACAATGTGCCTTACTTCTGTGTTTGTAAACTCCCTCCTATTTCGGGTGTAAGGAAGGGCTCTACTTCCTCTGCAGGACAGCAACTCCTGTAGGTCTTCCCCGTTTGTCTCCCACACCTCGCCCCGTGCTCCACTCACCGGTACCGTGCCAACTCTCATCCTTCTTGGCCTCCACCTGGTGAGAAATAGAGCAGGTGATCTGGAGGTTGGGGAACAGGGGGACCCCGTCGGGAGCCTCGAAGTCTGATGCAGGATGAGCAAAGTGGGCATTGCCACTCAACAGGATCTGGGGGGCATCAGGCTGTAGCACCACAACATAACCTTCCACGTCGGGAATGGAGACACAGGACTCTTCGCTGAAACACCTGAAGGAGAGCAGCAGAAAGCAGTAGTTGGCTCAAGCGGCCGCAAGCGACAGCGTCAAAGAACCCCAAGGGAATATCCTTTTTCCGGGAGTCTTCCTAAAGCTTCCCCGTAGCCTGCTGCGCAGGGTGTGGTAAGGATGGCGTCACTGGGTTTCAGGTGACTTGGTCACATCCACCCACCACAGAGAAAATTCAAACCAGCCCACGTGCCTGGAACCCCATGAGACCCCTGTCTTCAAGGCCAGGCTGGATGAGGCTTGGAGCAACCTGGTCTAGTGGAAAGTGTCCCTGCCCATGGCAGGGGGGTTGGAACTGGATGATCTTTAAGGTCCCTCCCAACCCAAACCATTCTGTGATTCTATGATTCTATGAGTGAAGGTAGAAGCTCTGCTACCTGCATAGGCCCCAGGACTCGGAATTACAGTATCCCTTTGGATATTCGACGCTTTAATATTCTCAGGAAGACTTTTACCCCTTTCCAGACCATCAATTAGCATTCAAATACGAGGCGAGGGAGTCTTTTAGTCAAAAGAGAGGTGGGTCTCTCGCTGTACGTAGCCGGAGACGCTGCTGCGTCCACTCACTTGACAGTGGTGGTGAGTCTGAGCGGCCGGACGCCGGGGGTGGCAAAGCGCAGGGAATTCATGTAAGCCACGTGCTGGATTGCGTGGTTGAAAGTCTCCACGTCGTCGCCCTCCAAGGTGAGCAGGGATTGAGAGGGGTTCACATGCACCTACAGGTGGAAGAGAAGATGATACTCAGCGTTCCTTGGCAAATGCCAAGAGCCCAGGCTAAGAGAGACACAAAAGAGAAGGGTGGGGGGTTGTCTGGGGTGGGGGAGCAGGCAAAGTCCCGGGAAGCAAGGCTGGGGAGGAGAGTGGAGGAGACCCATGCAAGCTGGGCAGATGGGCGTACCTTCATCCCTTTGCCCAGACTGTCGAAGTCACTGTAATCAAGCCCCTCACGGCACGCATACAGGCATTCAATAACCTCCCGGCTCTCCAAGCTACCAGGGCGCACAGTGAAGCCAGCCAAGTAACCATGGAAGTAGTGGTGGATCGACAGAGAATCTCCTGAGGGGAAACATGGGAGGTGGAGGGTGTGAGAGACACGGCGAGGAAGAGAGCAAAAAAAAAAGCAACGGTGCGAGGGACGGGCAGATGTTAAGGTGGAGAGAGACAGGGGGGTGCACAGGACGTGGAAAAGCAAAGACGACAAGAAGATGGGGGATGCTGGAGTAAGGACGTGACAACTTTTTGATTTCCAAACGGGGGAAAGGAAGAAAAACAGAACAACAGAAAGACCAGGGCAGTGACCGGTGGGTAGCGTAGAGAAGGTTCTGCCAAACCGCTGAATGCCAGATGGAAACAATGCCTTGTCCCCTTCTCTGCTTCCTGTGAGGGCTTTTAATAGAAACGACACGCTCCACAGATAGTTAGGGATGAGGTGACATCTCCCGATGTCGTTAATGGCTACTGTGTTCTTCGGAGGCCAGCTCTAACCATCAGGCATGAGGACTCTTCCTCCACACGGAAAGCACACTCCACCCCTCCAAGCAGGCTGCAGTCCTCCCGTCAGCCCTTTCATGCTCCACACCTATCAAGGACCGATCCGCCGGATACGGGGGTTTCTCCCACGATGGTGGGAGGTGGCAGGACAGGACGGGGGGAGCTGTATGAGGAAGGCACCATGCAAGAAGTGATAGTCATGCACGGTGAAGAGGGGAAGAGAACCATCTTCTTCCTTTTCCCTACCTTGCACAGTATCAGTGGAGTTCTCGTTTCCTTTGATTTTCTCTTTGTTTTTCTCCTCTGCAAAAAGAGAGCATTCAGCCAAGCAGTAAAGCAGCGGAAGAGGGGAGTTACAGGGTCAGCAAGTATCTACACAAGTGGCTGTACTGGCCAGCCCTAAAGAGCAGCTCTGGAGTCACGGGCCAAGCAGTGCACCCGGCAGCCCTAGAGACAGCACATCGCAGAAGCAGAGGGCAGAGCCCCTCTCCTGAGGGGATGGCGAGACGGTAGAATGAGGAACTGATATGAAGGAGAAGGTATAGGGTTTTTTTTCTCCTCCTTCCCCCATGACACCTGTTTGGGGAATTAATCGATTCTCGGTTATTCTCATGGGCCAAGCCATGTTCTCAGCATCCCTTTGAAACTCAGATGGCCCCGGGTGGGTGCCCCAAGCCGATCAATATCTGTTGGTTGCAAAAGGCCCGTTGAGAGCAGCGAGCTGTGTGAAGATCCCTGACGTGGGGATAAGCAGTACCACAGTAAAGATTTGACCTCACTAGAAATTTCTGCCAGAGCAAAGGCAAGCAGCGGGCCAATGCCTTTAGTTCTGTCCTGCTTCAGCCTGAATGACATGCAGAGTTTCAGTACTGCTCTGGAAAGCTGGTTACCCATCCCATATTCTACTCCTGTTGTCCACAAAGCTGCCAACGACGTTGTCCCTGAGCTATTATTACCGTGGCCCGCTGGCTTGGTCCATAAGGGAAGAAGGAGTCACACCAGCTTTGGTGCCAAGGAGGCAGGATGGCTGCAGTAAGGTTTGCAACATTTAGTACTGGGTGTGGGGGGGTTCTTTCACCTCTTCTGGCTCTCCCTCTACTCCCTTGTTTCCCATATGGGAAGCGCATGGTTCGTGATGGGCACTCACCGGCCCAGCAGGCTCCAATCATGAGCGAGGGCTCCTGCCGGGGGGGTTGAATGAGGCCGTTGTCGTGGATGAGAGCGGGGTCGTAAGACACGCCATCCACGTAGAGCGTGACGGTGGGGAACTCCAGGTTGAGGGCATAATGGTGCCACTCGTCGTCACAGACCTACAGCAGAGAGCGGAGGAATGGATCGGCAAAGGGCAGAAGGAGAAGGGACATGGGGAAGAGGCAAACGCTTCCTCACCTGCTCAAGCTTCCAGAGGAATTTCACAGGCCTTGCACTTTCCAGCAGTGGCCAGTAAAGGAAAGCGATCCGGCAGCCGTGCACAGTCAGAGAGTAATGCGAGTAGCCATCCTCTGCCAGGGACAAGCACAGGGGGTTGCGTGTCACGCCTCAGAGCAGTGTCCCTAGCCAGAGCCCAGAAGCACGACTGGAACTCAGCACAGCACACTCACAGCAGGCTTGACTGCTCCCAGAAAAAGTGACATAGAATCATAGAATGGTT